ACTCCCTTCTTTTGGGACTTTTCAGAGCGCTATTATGTGAACTATGGTTCGAGTTCACTTTTATGCGCTACCCTGACTTCGCGCTCCTTCCCTTATCATGTACGGTAGCCTGGTGTAACAATGAATACTGTAAGCTACCGTAGTTCTCATTCACTCTCCTTGCTTTTGGGAGACTGTATACGGCAATACGACCGCAAAATTGCACCAAACTGCATTCTTGATAAGCGCGGGCCATTTTGTGTAACGAGCAGAGCTGAATTTGTGATACTGCTCAATATTTCTATTAATAAAATGTTACATTAGCGTGTTTTCTGGGATGTAGGTGCCCAAACCAACAGTCCCCAATCTTAATAGGAATCTTCCTCTATTTTAACTGGTAATTCTTTTATTCAGATCCCAGTTGGTCTTATGCATGGCATTTATACCTACGATTTCATTATCGAAGAACGGTCAACGTGTGCTATCGTGAGCATCGCAACCAATAACGCCACTCAAGATTTCGTGAGCCCTTATTTTCATACTTATTATTTTATACTCATCAGAATCGATTTCTCATACAAGCTTGACTATCGCGAATCAAAGTTACGGCTCAGGATCGAATTGGTGTGCTATTATGGTCGGAAATTAGGCAAGTAGTGCGGTGAGGATAGTTAATGGGGAGAAAGCAGAAGCGTCACAGATAACACTGAAGGTTCCCCTATGACGTCGGCCAGGGTGATATGACGGAGAGATAAATCGCTGCCAGGGAAGGGACATTCAAGGAGGGACTGGTTCTGAGCACCTATCCCCGACCCATGGCTTTAATCACAAACGAGGAATACTTCAATGATCTCCGAGAAAGTCAATCATATCCAAAATCTCAATGGATAAGTAGCTCTCGTTTTTGCAGAGAGACGCACGCATTGTTATCCCGCCTCGTTTTTTTTGCTCGGCAACGGCTCCCTAACGTGCTTTTAATGGAAAAAGAAGCTAAAACATTATATCAAGAACGGCTGAGTTTTCATAAACAAATGAAATGAGTCGATCAACACTAATGTACAATACTACTAGAAGCGCACACATTTCCGAGCAGATTTCTAAGGCGCATTTTATCATGAGGTTTCAGGGTAGACTGAAATACCCAGCCCTTGCCATTGTCGTAGATGGTGTGTGCAATGAGCTTTATCGCGTACTATCTCGCGGAATCGAGTCCCAGCCTATTCCTATCTGACCAATCATCAGCATCCCTCGATTGAATTAGTGTGTATTTTTTCTAAGCAATGAAACCAGCTGCTTGTTAATCGGTGGCGGGCAGGACTCGGTGGGAACTATCACCGTGGCCACTTACGATCTGAAATAAACCCGTAAATGTGACATACCGTCGACAAACGATAACACTGAATAAAGATATTCACCCGCCTTGCAGTCCCCAAGGTCAGAAAACGCGCTAAATCGCGACCAACTACCCGTTGCATACTTTCACTACAAAAAAATAGCGTTTGAGCTACCACTTCGGAAATTGAATTTGTCAGTAAGACGATAGCCGCTAAACGGATCAAAATTGCTGCAAGTCCGACGACGAGCTAATTTGGTCAAATTGGCGCAGTTTGACTAGATCGCTAAAGCTGCTCTTTGAAAAGTATGCGACGAAATTCTGACGGATGCCATTCTGGCAGTATTTGAGCTGAACAGGGACCGATAGAAAGACGTCCCTGGTTCATGGGCAACCACATCGAATAAGAACTCCTACACAACTTGTTGATGTCGGTTTGTAGTTGAAAGTGACCCCCGATATCTACATATGTTATTCCCCCATCACATACACCGTGTCAACCTAGTTCACACTGCATGTGTGGTTTGCTTCAGTACTGAGGGATCGCAACCCAAAGCAGCCGTTCTCATCAAAGACTTCTCCCCGTCCTAAGGGCCGCTGTGTGCGCTACTCTAGATAGACATCGAGAATTTGTTTGTCCCAAACATTTTTGCTTCGGTCGACTTTAGTGAAGTTGACAAACTTTCTCAACCTATTCTATAGGGAGCTCGTGGTGCCTTGTGCCATTGTGCAGTGCCTTTCTTAATGAGTGATCACGTGACGTTCTATGTGTCAGGACCATCGCACACGAACTTTCATGAGCAGTTCGCACGAGTGCCATATCCTCTTCGTTTCTGACTCTATTGCGACACGATTACTCGCAAGCCCATCTTAGCACCATCATTGCAGCAATTCACTTACATACATGGCTCCTCCCGATGGACCAACATTCCCTGTTGTAGATCATAGAGGATCTTACCACGGTTCATTGCACCCATCCACTGAAGGTACATGAGCACTTCCAGGTCTACGTAACTATGAATGGCTAGAATACGTCCGGACATCAGGGTTTCTTCCTGTTTTGATGTTACCTCTATGAAGCGCTACGAGCGCTTCTGTTCATTCGTCTAAACAAAGGGTTCCGATCTTCTGAAGAGGGAGGGAACTAAATCATACTCCAAAGCTGAATCTGCACTCTTGCTACAGCTGTGAAGGTCAACGATTTGCTGCCAAGGCGACGTCGTTAAAATAGAGAGTGGCCCATAGTAACACAATCACCACGACATTCAAATAGCACGCAACTGTAGTTGCAATGAATTTTGCAAGGCCCTGGCGCCCTTGTGGGATGATTCCATGCACAGAATCGTCACATCTGTGATTGTCCTCCAGGGTCTATCATGCAGACGCCCACACTATTTCTGCCTGGTCTCGGCCTTCAATTGAAACTCTCCAACAATATCCTTTATATCACATTTTCGCTTGAAGGTAGAAGCTCTAAAAAACGCAATAAAACCGCAATCTACATCGTGCATCTCACTTTATTTTGATTAACTTCATAAGGTTGAGGCAATCTCGTTCTTCCCTGGTCGCACTAGGTCAATGAAAAGGTTCCCAAACTCGTGACAGTTACTGTATATACTACACTAAGATGAAATGAAATAGAATAAAGTTATAATTCCTTTACCTTTAGGTAAGAACGTACTTCATCACCTTCAATGTGTTCGGATACATCTTGCCTCTAGGAATTTCTGTTTTACTGTACTGGCGAATGCTAAGGCGGTTGTGGGATACGCCACGACCCGGACACTCAAATACGGT